TTCAATGTAAGAGCTGAAACTCTTAATGCTTCTTCAATGTAAGAGCTGAAACTCTTAATGAAAGAGGTAAACTGTATAGTTTATTATTTGCTCTTCTCTCTCTCCAACATGTTCCTTGCTCTTAGCTTTTTTTTACAAGTTTATTTGAATACATTCTTTGCAGGTTCTTAGTTCACTTTTCAATTTTTCATATGGCTACTGCCCTGATTTTCCATGTTTTCTAGATATGCCTTAAAATTTATCCCATTTCAACAGTCACTAAGACTTTTGTTCTTTTGTGTACCATTTGTTGTTGTTTATAGATTTTGGTAGAGTCTTCTGACTCAATACTCTAGGCTAGCTTTGAATTTTCAGTGATTCTTCTGCTTCATCATCTTGAGTGCCTGGATTACAGTAAGTCATCTTATCCCAATTGTCTTTAATGTTTTGTTTAATTGTAGTACCACTACCAGAAATATAGAAATATATATGTGTGTGTGTGTGTGTGTGTGTGTGTGTGTGTATGCACATGAGAGTACTGGCAGAAGCCAGAAAGGGGCATTAGATACCCTGAAACTGGAATCACAGGTGGTTATGAGCTAAGACTTTGGTCCTCTGCCAGGGCAGCAAGTACTCTTAACCACTAAGCCATCTCTAATTCAATTGCTCTGGGTTGGGGGCAGGGGCCTGTTTTATGTTAGAGTCTCACTGGTTGGCCTGTACCTCACAATGTAGACTAGGCTGGCCTTGAACTCATAGAGATCTGCCTGCCTTGCCTCCTGAGGGCTGGGATTAAAGCTGTGCATCTGCCACTACACCTAGCTTCATTTTCCTTATTGGACGGGGAAAGTTTATATTCCACAGAATCTGGTGAATGACTGCTTTAAAAAAGGATATATGTTAGCTGAGCATTGTTGTGTAGACTATAATTTAAAAAAAAAAAAAACCAAAGACTGATGCAGGAGGATCTCAGAGTAGACCCTAGCCTGAGTTACATAGGGAGAGGCTGTCTCAAAAACAAAACAAAACAAAAAAGCTACAAACACATAGATGTGCATATGTGACAAGTGTTTGGGTAAAAAATATCCTTTTATCCATATTTTACTAAAATTATTATTATCAATAATTGATTTTAAGCCACACCTGGTATTGAACACCTTTAATCCCAGTACTCTAGAGGCAGAGGCAGGCAGATCTCTGTGAGTTTGAGGCCAGTCTGATCTACATAGCAAGTACCAGGCAAACTAGGGCTACATAGTCTACCTTGCTTTAAACAAAGTATAGTAAATATAGACAGGTTACTCATTATTCAAATATCATGCTGACTTGTTCATCATAACCCCATGTTTCTATTATTGTAGGCCTTACTTCAAGGCAAATAGGTTCACATGAAGCCTCAAAGTCTCCATTGATAAGTATCTGAACAGATTATTTATTTTCTTATAGGGTTTTTTTTTTGTCTTGTTTTGGGTTTTTGTTTTTTGTTTTGTTTTTGACACAGGGTCTCACGTATCCCAGTCTGGATTTAAAGTTGTTCTCTAAGCAAGGATGACCTTGAATTCTTCCTGATTCTCCTGCCTCCACTTCTCCAGCGTTGGGATTGTAGGAAGGGACCATCATTCACTGTGTACACAGTGATGAGGTTGGAGCAGGACTCCAACACTTGGGCAAGTACTCTACCAGCCAAGCTGTATGTCCAGCTCATTACCCAAGCTAACTAGATTTTATCTTAAAGATTCCCTGAGCATCTCTATATGGTCAACCCTGTCTCAGCCAGCTGAGGTGAGTATCCCTGAGAATCATAATATGGAAAATTCACAGAGAAGTAAGGATAAGGACAATTTTTATTTTTAGAGACGTGGCAGAGGTAGCTCAGCTGAAAGAACAGTAGACCGCAGATCTAAAAATGTGGGTTGTGGGTGTAGCTTCAGTGCAACACTACTTACCTACGTTGCTTGAGGCCTTGAGTTTAATCCCTAGCACCACAAAAGAAGAAACACCATGAATATTGTGAAATACTATTTTAAGATATGTTATACTCATTTATGCTGTGGAAAATTTCTTTAATGATGCAAAGATGTGTTGCATTCTTTTATGTTGTACGTCTTTAACTCGGTGAAGCTGTGCTATGTTGCCTGTCTAAAACACCTGGTTGGTCTAATAACGAGCTGAATGGGCAATGGCTAGGCAGGAGAAAGGATAGGTGGGGCTGGCAGGCAGAGAGAATAAATAGGAGGAGAAATCCAGGGGAGAGAGGGAGGAATAGGAGAACGAGAGGACTCCGGGGGACAGCCACCCAGCTACACAGCAAGCCATAGAGTAGGAAGTAAAGAAAGGTATATTGAATAGAAAAATATAAAAGTTCAGAGGCAAAAGGGAGATAGGACAATGTAAGAAAAGCTGGCAAGGTAGCCGAGCGGTGGTGGCGCACACCTTTAATTCTAGCACTTGGGAGGCAGAGGTAGGAGGAACTCTGTGAGTTCGAGGCCAGCCTCGTCTACAAGAAAAGCTGGCAAGAAACAAGCCAAGCTAAGGCCAGCATTCATGAGAAAGAATAAATCTTGTATTTATTTGGGAGGTGTGTGGTGGGCCCCCAAAAGAGCAGATAGTAAAAAATAAAACAACCACCAACAATGAAGTATCAAAGGAACACAGATAATTTAACCACTGGAGTTTGGAGAATCTGTGAGGAGTTCTAGAGGTGATCCTCATGCTGGATCTTGCATGCTAGGCCAACATAGATGAGGAGGGGAAAGCAACTTGAAGCAGAACCAAATGCATGGCTTGGAGAGATGGCTCAGTCATTAAGAGCACTGCCTGGTCTGTACAGCTGACCAGTGGGGCTGTTTTACTCTCTGAAGTCAGGCAAGCTTTATCTATTAAAATACAAATGAAATATCACCACAGGGGTGGGGTTGGGAGAAGCCCAGGAAGCAGGTTGAGAGCAAGAAATAAGGACTTTTATAGGCTCGGCTAGGGAGTGCGGAAACTCACCAGGTGAGTTTCACCAAGTGAAAGGCTTATGGTGATTACAGGAAGAGAAGCATACTCCCAACTGCTTGTAGGGCCAGTATGCTGTGTGGCTGTGGGAGAGTCTGGCTCTAAGTCGAACCCATAACTAGTAATCGGTAATGACTGTGTGTACATATACAGCAGAGCACACAGACCAAGAAACCTTTACCAGGTGAATCTGCAGGGCTCCCCAGCCAGTGAGAGTGGAGAAGAGAAAGCAGATAAGGAGCATTAGGGCCTTGGCTCCGGGGAATCTAGCGGATAGTAATAACCCTGCTATCTTCATGGCATGCACATGAAGGGGCAGAAGGAAAGAAAGTAAGACAGCCAGGCCAGCTGAGGGCATGGCTCAACTACAAGACAGGGCAGGGCAGCAGGGCTGGTGGAGGCTGCAGGAAAGCCGGTGTTTCCCCATGACCCTGCGGTCCTGGCATCCACTCATCCATTGCAAGTCAAAGGTAACATGAGGTTCCGCGTCACTGCAGTTAGAACAGCCGTTGTGAAAATACTGATACACTTACACATGGAGATGGAGACAAGGGAACCGAGCTTTAGACTCTGTTGGAAACGATACAAATTATCAAGGACACCCTGGAAAACAATGTGGGCTCCCCAAAAAATTAAAATCAGAATGTCCTTGTGATCTGACTCTACCACGCCTGAGTTTATCCCTGAAGGAGCTGAAATTGGTGTGTGTGAGAGATGTTGGTCTGCTGTGCAGACTTTTATTGGGTGCTTGGTTACAGTCTCAGAGGGGTAATCCATGATCATCATGGCAAGGAGCATGTCAGCAGGCAGGCAGGCATAACCAATATGAACTTTGATTCTTCTCCCCTGCAGACTTTTTTTTTTTGTTTACTTCATGGAAAGTTAATCACTACTCCTTGAAAATAAAAATTAACTCAAGACAAACCGAGTGTAATTTTGCCAACATTATATCTTTAAATTAAAAAAAATGTTTCATATGTGTATGAGTGTTTTGTCTACATGTATATTTGTGCAACTCTTTCATGCAGTGCCTTGGAGACCAGAAGAGGGTATGGGAACCCCTAGAACTGGAGTTACAGATAGTTGTGAGCTACCATATGGGTGCTTGGAATTGGACCCAAGTCCTCTGAAAAAGCAGCCAGTGTTCTTAACTTCTGAACCATTTCTCATTCCCCAACACTATGTTCTTTTGCTTGTTATTTTGTTTTTGTTTTTTTTTTGAGACAAGGTCCCTCTGCATAGCCCTGGCTGTATTGAAACTCACTATGTAAACCAGGCTGACCTCACAGGTATGGCGCTCAGTCTGCTGAGTCCTGGGATTTAAAGGCATATGCTCACCAAACCCAGTGTCCTGGCTAGTTTTTGTTTGTTGTGTTTTTTTTTTTTTTGCAACAATGTCTTTTATTAGGCACAGGATTTGAAATGACCTCTTCAGTTTCTCCATACACATGTAAAACTATGTGTACCATTTAGCATACTGAAGCATGCCAACTGAGTCACTACCTAGAGAAGGGAAAATTATCCCCAACCTGCTTAGCCAGGAGGGCAATTCATCTGCCGACCCCCAAGAACGTGGAGATGAATATGGTAGACAGACTGTCCCCCGTCTGCACCTTCATTCACCACCATCCAGTAGCCCTGATTCAGGCCCAGATCTGCAGCACATTTCTTTTTTTTATTTATTTTTTTAATATATATGAATGACTATAGACTCATTATCCTTTGCTTTACATCTACTATCCACTTGTGAGTGGGTACATACCATGTTCATCTTTCTAGGTCTGGGTTACCTCACTCAGGATGGATTTTTCTAGTTCCATCCATTTGCATGTAAATTTCAAGATGCCATTGGTTTTTTTTACCGCTGTGTAGTACTCCATTGTGTAAATGTATGCAGCACATTGCTGTGTGAGATCCTTGTGCTCCTTCAGCCAATAGCCTTTAAGATACCAGCCCACTTGGCCATAGTCTCTTATACTGTAAATGCAGCTGTAAAGTGTGCACTCACTCTCTTGTTTTAGGCTCTCACTTCCAGCTGCTAGGCTCTGTTCCTGTTCCCTGTTCATGCAGAGGATTGCAATTTAAGACAGTGATCTGTAAGTCTTCCCTATATAAGTAACACTTTATTATATGTAATTCTGAACTAGTGTGGGATTATTTTGTATCTTCAGCCATCATCTGGCCCCCCATTGTGGGGCCCAGTTCATACTTTTTGGATCAGTCCACCAGCCATGTGGCACATTGGGTACTGACTCTCCCACCCACGGCTTTAGCTGACTCTCAGATGCAGCAGGCTGCTGCTCAATGTTCCCTGGCTCATGACCTACACGCCAGCCCACACACTGCTGCCCGCGATCCGTGCAGTGCACACAGTCCACAACTCACACTGATGTAAAACTTTGGGATTTCTCTTTATCTTGGGCCCCAACTCTTGGAATCATTTGACTGCCTTAGTAACTGTTCTTAATTTGTTAAACAAAGCATATTTTTCAGTATATAAGTAAGTAACATGTGCTGTTCACTACTGCTAGTGTCTCTTGGCCACATGGCTGCAACTGCGACACCTGCTGGCCAGTAACGATGATTACACCTACTCGAATTCATTGGAATTTATGAAAGGTAAGATCTGAAAAACTACAAAAAATGACTGATAACATCCAGGAGTTCAATAATTATTTTGCTTATATTATGGAAGGCATAGTGTAAGACTTACACTATTTTCCTTCCTATTATTTGATTCTAGGTATTAACTTTGTTTTCAATATTATCTCATTGAAAATGGTTCAATACTATGGAGAGGAATAGCATCACTTTGATAAAATTTTCTGGAAGAATTTGTGCTGTTGAATCTAACTGTAAGAATCTGTTGAAAAGTTATATATCCAAGGATGAGACATTATCTCTACTGGACAAGTTTCATATCTTAGAACAGAACACTGGACCGGGGATTCAGACTTTAAAAAAAGACGGTAGTAAAAAGATTTTAAAAACTTAAGGAATTTATTGAAATTGATGAGCAGGGACATAAGGTACAAGGACAGCATTTAATCTCATCAGTACATGCCAGACCCCTGGATGACTTACACAGAGTTTCAACTGCATATCCAGTAATTTCCTCAGAAAGACCATCTGGCACAAAGTGCTCTAAGGTAGTCAAAGAATATGCATGGGGACCAACTTTGAATATGTATGAACAATCTAAAAGAAATAAAACAAGCAATAGTTTCTTATGACCTACATTCACCATTTGTCAGGGAAATGGTGAAAACATGGTCTTCAAGCACTAAGGCAACCCCACACAATGGGTTTCAATTAATCTCCGATGTCCTAGAAAATGGACTTCAGATGCTTTGGAAGTGTTAATTTTTTGGAGAAATTAATAGCAATTATCCCAGGAGTGATAGACTTAACCTTATAAAGAGAACTACTTGAATTCTTCCCTGATTGTACATGATGCATCAATAACTGGAGTCCATACATTTTATACTGGTGCAAATAAATCAGGGAAGGCAGGTTACAAATCAGAATAATTAAGTAAGGTGGAACAAAGCCCTTATAATTCTGTCTAAAAGGCAGAATTATATGCTATTGTCATGGTACTAAGGGATTTTAAAGAACCTCTCAATATAGTTACTGATTCACAATATGTGGAAAGTGTTGTCTTGCATATTGAAACCACTGAATTTATACCAGATGATACAGAATTGACTTCATTATTCATACAGTTTCAAGACATAATCAGGAATAGGCTTTGCCCCATATACATAACACACATCTGATCCCAAATGGGTCTGCCAGGTCCTCTAGCACAAGGTAATACAGAAATTGATCAATTATTGATTGGAAGTGTGCTGAAGGCACATCATGTCAATAGCAAAGGTTTAAAGAAAGAATTTTCTATTACATGGCAACAAGCTAAGGAGATTATAAAGAGATGCCCTACTTGCCCTTTCTTTAGCCAAATATCATTACCAGCAGGGAGTAACCCAAAGGGTATTCAAAGGAATGAGATCTGGCTGATGGATATGTTTCACTTTACAGAATTTGGAAAATTAAAATATGTACACCACACCATTGATAGTTTTTTAAGAAAGAGATGAAGACAAGGCACAATATTTTACATGTGAACGCTCTGTCATCATGTATCCCTGACAAACCATCTCTCCAGCCCACACCATTGATACTTATTCAGGTTTTCAATGGGCAACTGCTTTGAGCTCAGAAAAGGCCGATTCGGTAATCATGCATTTATTAGAAGTTGTGGCCATCATGGGTATACCTGCACAAATAAAGAGAGACAATGGTCCAGCATATGTGTCTAAGAAAATGAAAACAGTTTTTTGCTTATTATAATATAAAGCATATTACAGGTATACCAAACAACCTTACAGATCAGACAGTTGTAGAAAGATCAAATAAAACTATAAAGAATATGCTGAAAAAACAGAAAGGGATGGAAAATACCTCCAGAAATAAATTGCATAATGCTTTATTAACCTTGAATTTCTTAATGCTAATGAGAAAGGAACAACAGCAGCAGAAAGACATTGGATAATTGAAAAAAAAACTTCTGAATTAAATCAGCCAGTGTATTTCAGGATGTGCTGACCTCACAATGGGAACCAGGAGATGTGCTATGTCGGAGAAGGGGTTTTGCTCTTGTTTCCACAGGAGAAAAAAAGCTATGGATACCATCAAGATTGATAAAGATTCACTTTGAAAAAGAGACACCTCTTGAGAAAGAGAAATGATTGCTCATCCACAGAGGTGACAATCATACAGGTGGTAAGAAAACCTCATAAGGGTTGGGGCAGAGTTCTGTTCTTGTCCTTGAAGGAAAATATTCATCTTCAAAGACTGGAGAGATCTTGGACATCTAGATGCCTAAAGATAAAAAGATATCGATCCAGAAAAAATCAACAAAGAGAAATCTGCCTTATGGTGCTGTATTATCTGCATGGTAAAATTAGGTTATTTGGATACATATCCATCTCTCCTTAAAAATAAGAGCTAGCTTTGGAGTTGGGTAATGGCTATCCTTCTCTAAATCCAAGCATGTTGTTAAAAGTAAAATTCAGAATTTCTGTCTCATATCAGGAGCCATCTGGTAAGGGACAGAAAGAAGATAGATTTTTAAAGGAAATATTTAATATTTTTCCATGCCCATTTTGTTTATATCATATCTTTCATTCAATATATGTTTATATAAATAATGCTTAAGTATGCCGCAATGAACAGTAGATTTTTTACAGTAATCTTTGAAGCTTCCAGGAGGAAGATGGGGCCCCACAACAATGACTCCATCTGGTTGATATGATGTCATGATGCTGATAGTGCTACTATGAGACTGGTTTTGGGGTACCAGCTTTAGAAATGGTGCACCTTCTTATAACATTCTGGCCAAAACTCCAAATAAGAACTTCAAAACAAACAAACAAACAAAAAGACCCTATTGACTACTCAGAGACCATTTGTAATTATACAAAACAGCAGTCTTAAGACTTAACCATCATTTAACTTTTATAGGATCCCATAGAAAAAAACATTGCCTGCATGACAGCAGGAAGCAATTCTAGAAAGTGACATCCCCTCTCTCAACAAAATTTGTCCTCATGGTTAAAGATACCATTTAGGGGCTGATTATTATTTGCATAGGGATGGGGGTTGAGGTGGAAATTGTGTAGGCCTAGAAATAAAAAAAAAAGGAAGATTGAACGGGATAATAGGTAATTTAGTGTGAACTTATTCACACTAATAATAGTAATAATAGTGAGTAATAGAGTGAATACTTGTGAACTATTATTTATGGACAATTACACTGGAATAGTTTCTTGTATATTGATACAAGTTCAAATTATATTTGTTATTTCTGTTTACAATATTTGTATACCTATGCAAAGTTATTTTGTCATATTGTATGCATGCATGTTTCTACCTCTGTTTAAGACATTTTGTATATTGATACAATTTTAGGATATATTTATCATATTGCATTATATATTTCTACCTCTGATTAAAATATTTATACATATATGGACAGGCGTTTTTGTCTACAAGAACTAATTTGGCATACTGTTGGATATGACTCCGAAGTGTTTAGCCATGCCCATTCCAACTTCCTTTGTCTGTGTTTATAAAGAAGTGTTGGATGGATTAGGCCATGTGGTGGTTTGCATGAGAATAGCCTCTGTAAGCTTATATGTTTGAATGCTTGGTCCCCAGTTTGCAAAACTTGTCTGAAAAAGGTTAGGTGGTTTGGCCTTGTTGGAGGTTGTGTGTCCTTGTTGAAGGAGGCACGTCACTGGGGAGTGGGGCTTTGAGGTTTCAAAAGCCCAGTTAGCCCATTCACTCTGTCTCTGCTTGCATCTCAAGATGTAGGTTCTCAGCTACTGCTCCAGTGCCATGCCTTCCTGCCTGCTGCCACGCTCCCCAACATGATGGCCATGGACCAAACCTCTGAAACTGTAAGCAAACCTCCAATTAAACTCTTCTTTGAGCTGCCTTGGTTGTGGTGTCTCTCCACAGCTATAGAAAAGTAATTAGGACAGGCCAAATAATTTTTGGTTAGATCCTGTCATTTTCAGAACAGAACCTTAAATTACTCCCTCTGGACACATAAAGGACGTAAATTATTTAGTAGCTCACCATTTCTATCCTTACATGTTGGCCAGTGGTGTTGATTTTGAGCTCTCTGCCGTGGCGCAGCTGTCGATAGCCTAACGATGAGAAGTGTTTGTGAGGACTGTAAAAGATGTCATACCAAATTTCTGTGGCTACAAGTCAGAGATGCTAGATAGGTTGTTCCATGCAACTACCCACCCATCCAGTCCCCAGTAGGCATTGTTAACCAGTCACAGAACTTTTTCCTTCGGAGACGAGACTCACCGAGTTTCACGGCACGATTTACACAGGCAGCTACTGCAAGCAGATCAAAGTTGAAATGTGAACTGAAACCTACTTGCCATCCTAAGGGACAGTAATTTAATGCTACCATGAACTGTGTACTCTACTTAATTGGGCGGGAACATTCGGACAGTACATAGAGTTGACTTCATGTAGTGTGCTTTGTGAGTGTAACAATGGTATACTTGGAAGAAACCCATGTGCAGATCTTTGCAGAGTCAGCTCTGGCCTTCCGCTCTGGGTTCCAGAGATCAACCCTGTGTCTTCGGGTTTGCACAGCAAGCCACTTTCCTCACTGGGCCACCATGCCAGGCTTGAGACTCTTTTTTTTTTTTTTTAAATTTATTTATTATGTATACAATATTCTGTATGTCTGCAGGCCAGAAGAGGGCACCAGACCTCATTACAGATGGTTGTGAGCCACCATGTGGTTGCTGGGAATTGAACTCAGGACCTTTGGAAGAGCAGGCAATGCTCTTAACCACTGAGCCATCTCTCCAGCCCTTGAGACTCTTTAAGATACATATTTTCTGCTTAGCTCACAATATCATCCTCATTAGAGTTTGAGATTTTCCTCTGAACTAAAGCTTAAGAAGAGTCTGAAGAGATGGCTTAGCGGTTAAGAGTGCTAGCTGCAATTCCAGAGGTCCTGAGTTCAATTCCCATCATCTACATGGCATCTATATACACAGTCATTGATAATGGAATCCACTATGCAGATGCACATGAAGACAACATAAATAATCTTAAGATTAAGAAGCATGTACTTCCCAAAATCAACGAAAGCAACAGCACTGGGTAGTTTTACCGTCTCTGTTACCACAGTATCTGACAGAAACGGCGAAGAGCGGAAAGAGTTATTTTCACCCCCAAATTTGAAGGGTTAAATCCATTGTGATAGGAAGGGTGTGGCAGAGCAAAGCACTTCGTGACGTGGTAGTCAGGAAACAGACAGATGAGGAGTTGCCCTTGTCCCAATTTCCTCTCTGCTGCCGTGGAAAAACACACTGACCAGAAGCCAGTCCGAAGAGGAAAGGATCTATCTGGTCTATATATGCAGGTTGCAGTCCATCACTGAAGGAATTCAAGCAGGAACCTGAAGCCAGGCCTACTCGCTATTCCACACAGCATTACCTTCAACCAAGAAACGAATTCACAGCCAAGAGAGTACAGAGGACACCATGGAGGAGCATTGTTTGCTGGCTCAATTGCTTAGCTGCCTTTCTGCATAGCGAATGGTGAAGTCCATAGTAAGCTTGAGTCTATATCAACTAACAATCAAGACAATTCCTCACATATATATTTGAAACAATTACTGGCATTGTTCTTTTAGTAAATAAAACCTGGGGTTAAAACCAATTGATCAGAGAAGCAGCGGAGAAGTGACCAGTGACCTCCTCTCTCTCCTTCCATCCAGGAGGGCCTGGGAATTTTTCTAAATAAGCCCCTTTCTACTTCCTGTACTATGAACCGTAAGCAATAGGAGATCTCAGGTTTTATCACCCACTGCTCTATTTGTAAGCAAAGACGGTTGTTTTAAGAAGTAATTATATACCAGGTGGTGGTGGCGCAGGCCTTTGATCCTAGCACGTGGGAGGTAGAGACAGGCAGATCCCTGTGAGTTCAAGGCCAACCTGCTTCTACAGAGCTAGTTCCAGGACACCGAGGGCTACACAAAGAAGCCCTGTCATGAAGAACCAAAAGAAAAAATGCTATAGTTAGGAGTGGGCTATAGATATGTTTTTACTGTGTATATTTCTTTTTTCTAATAATTTTTTATTACTTTATAAATAATACCATTCAAAATTTCCACTTCCTCCCCTCCTCCCACTTCCCTCCCGCTCCCCCACTCCCCCACCCAGTCCTAAGAGAGGGCAGGGTACCCTGCCCTGTGGGAAGTCCAAGGCCCTCCCCTCTCCATCCAGGCTTGGGAAGGTATGCATCTAAATAGAATAGGATCCCAAAAAGCCAGTACATGCAGTAGAGGCAAATCCCAGTGCCATTATCATTGGCTTCTCAGTCTGCCCCAACTGTCAGCCATATTCAGAGGGTCCAGTTTGATTCCATACTTGTTCAGTCCCAGTCCAGCTGGCTTTGGCGAGCTCCCATTAGCTCAGGCACACTGTCTCAATGGGTGGATGCACCCCTCCCGGTCCTGACTTCCTTGCTGTCTTCTCCCTCCTTGGGCTCTTCATCTGGACCTTGGGAGCTCAGTCCAGTGCTCTGATGTGGGTCTCTGTCTCTATCTCCATCTGTTGCTGGACAAAGGTTCTATGGTGATATTCAAGATAATCATCAGTGTGACTATGGGACAAGGCCAGTTCAGGCACCCTCTCCTCCACTGCCCAGGGTCCTAGCTGGGGACATCCCCATGGACACCTGGGAACTCCTCTAGAGTCAAGCCTCTTGTACTTGGCGTTTTTTTTTTTTTTTTTTTTAAAGATAAACCTGTTTGCTTCTTGTGTGATATACCTGAAAGGTTTTATTTTTTCTTTAAGAAATGTATTTTCATGGTCTGAATAGATGGTTCAGAGGTTAAGATTACTTTGTGGTTTTGCAGAAGACCAAGGTTTGGTTCCCAGAACACACATGGTAGCTCACAACCATCCATAATTCCAGCTTCAGAGAATCCAGGGCTTTCTTCTGACCTCCATGGGAGCTAGGTATGCGTGTGGTGGTCCTATATACATTCAAGCAAAACACCCACACATGAAAAAGAAGTTCTTATTCTTAAGAAAATATTTCAAGGAAAGAAATGCATATTCATGGTAAGGAGGAGGAGGAGGACCTGTGACTATTAAGTCCTCTTCACAGATTAACTCCTTACTATATCTTCCCTTTTGAATTTTATTTTTTTTTGGGGGGGGGGACTCATCTCAACCAGAGCTGAGGCAACATTAAGCCATACGAACCTTGAGGTTGGTCTTACTCTCCCAAGGACCATCTACACCAGATATGTGATTTGAATGAATGAGTCAGGGATGTAAGAACAAGTGCAGCAAGCTGGTGGTAACTTCGCCACATTTCTCTTGGACCGGAAGGAGGAAAGATAAGACGCTCAGTCCCTACATAGCAAGAGGCCATTGGTTGCCTAAGAAAAATTATCTTTAAGAGACTACAGGAAATAGAGATTGCCTGTTTGGTACCTCTGCCTTGCATTTAAAATCAGATAAGGTCAGAGGGCTAGAAGCACCATTTCACAGTCCCGGTTTAAAGGTATGAAAACTGGTTGAAAGGCACATGAACATGAACTCACAGTTCAAGTTCAGGGGATGTTTCGAAACTTGGGTAAATTGAGCTGAAAGGAAGGAACACATCCAACGTTGCGACCTTAGCATGTCAAAATCATGCTGATCAGAGATGGACGAAACTTGAGGAAAGCCACTTTTTAGACTTAGAGGCTTTTAGGCCAGCAGTCTGATTTTATCTAAGAAATGTTGCTTTTATCCCAGAAACGTTGCCTGCCGCGGGCAAAGACAGAGGGAGAAGGGGTGTGAAGGGGTGAGGAACTCAGAGGCGTGGCTCGGGCTTAGGGGCGTGGCTTACGTAGGAGGGGTGTGTCCGGGCAGAGAGCAGAGGCATGCCAGATCTAACGGGGGCGTGATTAGGGCGGTCCCTGTGGCTTCAACGGTGCTCGAAGGGCTGGGGTGTGGCCTCTAGGGGGCGTGGCACGGGCGCCAGCGGGCGAGGCTTTGATGGACACTCCCCAGTCGCAGGTCCTGGGAAGCTAACTTGCTAGTGGCACTTGTTAAGTGCTGTCTGAGAATCGTCCAGGTAAGGATGGGCAGCCGAATGGAGTGGGAGCCTCAGGGAGGGTGGGCAGACCTAGAGAGGGCCGCGACCCTTCCCACGACCCTCCACCCCACCGATCCCGGGCTCCGAGTAGCGACAGCTGTTGGTTTTGCGAGTCTTGCCTAAGTTCCTGCGGGCCTCTCCGGGCGTCGTCTTCTCTGCTTCAGCCCCCCTTTCTCCACTATTGGGAGTCACTAGACCCCTTCACAGTTCTTTTGCACTTGAGAGAATTTGTGGGGACACAGGAGGAGCAGGTCCCTTGTGAGGGAGGGCAAGTCAGTCAGAGTTGGTTGAATCTAAATAAGAAAGGCCAGCCTGCTAAGAAACAGCTGGAGACGAGCGTAAAGGCTAACAAATTCTGAGACTTCCTTCAGAAACTGAGGTACACTAAGTCGAGACTCTGATTGGCGTGGTGTTTCTTCTTCATCCCCACCCCCACTATGCCAGGAGCTGGGGACAGGCTCACAGCCATCCCTAGGCTGTGGAGTACTGTCACAGCTGTGCTTACAGAAATCAAAAACTTTTTTACTCTGAAATTACTCCTTCTGGCCTTAACTTTTGTGCTCTGCCCAAGACCTAGAGGAGAGGTACCTCCAAAATCCAGAATGGTCGATGGCTGCCATTCTTTGCAGCATTCCTTGTTAAATATTTTACTCCCGAGAAAACTTGTGACAGCTTGTTAATATTAATGTCAGTGCCCTCCCTTTTCGTGTACGTTCCCAGGGAAGGTTTGAGAAACATTAAGAGCTAACTGGCACACCTTAGTTCG